AAAAAAAAAAAAAAGGTGGAGGTGACAAAACACTGATGTGGTCATACTACATTTTTAGTGCCTCAGAAATGTCTCCAAACAGAGAACACTCAGAAGGAAAAGAAGAGTCAGTGTGAGGGCCTGCCCGGCTCCCCCAGCTCACCTGCACTGGGGCCCATTGCCACAACTACTCTCCTGACTCCCCAGCTAGTGCAGATTCCTGCCTTCAAGGCACTGACCTCACTCTGACCTGTACTTTGCCTGATGTACATAGAGACTTTTCTAAGTTTTAAATCACATGGTCATAGACACTTAGTAAAATTAGATGAATTAAACCCAAATTCAGTATCTGCAGTGCATAGTCACGTGACTAGGTCCAACGTATTTGGTGGCAGTAAAGGGGGATATATTTAGAAATAGACTAGTGTGCAGAAGAAAGAAACCCAGCTATTTAACTTAATGCAGCTGAAGCAAGAAATGTTTGCTTTTTGCTAAAGGAAAGAAATGATTAGATAAAGGAAAAACAGACTTTAAGCAGTACCCTGTGATCAGTTCCTAATTTTAACATCAATAGGATATTATGAAGCGATGGATTCCTTGGGTGTCAAATTGTTTTTTTACAAAATTTCTGAAACACTTCTCTGACATTACTAAAGATGGTTGTATTAATTTTATAGATTAGAATTAAATTATGATTTTACAGAGATCCATAGGGTTTATTTTTTTCAAAAACATGTTCCTTTCATCAGGTTTAAGCACAGAGATGTGGAACACAGATTTCATCCTGACTTTTAAATTTAATTTCTTTTCAGAATATTTTATTAAACATTCATGCATTTTTTTTCTTTACAATGACAGAAATCAAACTACAGAATCACCTACCTGTGTCTGTTTAGGACCAATATCCATTCTTTTTATAAGGTCATTTAAAAAATCAGTCACACTCTCCCAGGGGTAAATACTGTTGGAACCATCCAGCACTATGACTATGTCCAGTTGAGTAGGACATTCTGCAATAAAAGGAGTCAATTCTATGAATTTGGAGTATACAGTTTTTGAGGTATATTAAGTAGGAGAAAGAAACTCATTAAAAAAAAAATCAACTGATACTCTACAAGGTGAACACACTACTTTGTAATTTAAAAAGAAAAAAAAAAAAAGGGCTGGGAAAAGAATTGTGATAAATTTTCATTGCACCCAACAGTAGTTTTGGTGTTCATATGAAGTAAAAACAGTCTCTACTTAATTTAATTAATATTCCAGGAGTTATCTTAGGATTTTTTTTAATGTGAGCTTTACATAACAGTTCTCATTCAGTGTGCATTTCAAAAGAGGTGACTTTCTTCAAAGAGAATCAGCCTTTAAATAAAAACAATGTGACAACTTTAACTATGATGGTTAAATATGTCTCTAGAAAAGTTATTTACACTAATATCTGTTCCAAAAAAATAGCAGTGAGATTTGGTTATGTCTTGGCAAAGCAAGCATTTGCCTAAACTGGTAATGCTAGTAGCTGAGAAAATATTTCAAGATTTTTGGTATGCTCTAGTGTATACATATGTCTCATTCACTGCTTATACTTTTCAAACATGCAAGAACATTGCATAAAATCTGTACCTTGTACAGGGGCAATGGAGTTCACCACTTGAAATGTAGGGCTGACATCAGAACAGATTCCAGTTGTGTAATGCAAATGCCCACATCTATAGGCATATAAGGGCCCACATGCCTTTTAAAAAATTGAAAGCCATAAGATTAAAAATTATATAACAGATCTTGTAAAGTCAAAAATGATAGCATTTCCAATTCATTAACTAACATTACTCATTCTCTCTTACCAGAAACCCTCCTTTTGGGTTAGTGACTAAAGTTGATCCAAATGTCATGTTCTCCTTCACTTCTGTGACATTGGGAATTGATGTATTCACTAAAAATAGAACACAATTTTATGAGGGTGGAAAACAAAGTGAAATTAAGTGTCTTCCTATTAAAATGTTCTATTTGCTTTATTCATATCATAGCACATTCTTCTTTCGGTTCAACTAAATAGTCTTCAAAGTATTATTAAGAAATATAATGGACAAGCTCAGTCTGACAAGTTGGCTAATATCCCAGAAACTATGCCTGGATCCATGTTTCAAATGGTTTTGCTGAGCTATAAAAGAATTCAGAACCAATGAGGCAGTGAGAATGTGGGATTGCCTGTCACATGTTTCTGCTAACTGAAAAAAAAAAATGAAATGTTTAGTTTTATAATACTGTAGATATTATGTAAGGTTACAAAGCTATCTTCCATATTTGATCTATGTCTTATAAGTTACCAGTGTTGAAACATAACTTTTGACTAGAAGAAAAGAAAATGCAAATGTAAGTGTTTTTTTTTGTTTTGTTTTTGGTTTTTTTTTTACCATTAATTTCAACATCATGGAGACATTGTGAGGATTACAAAGAGAACTGGAACAAGATTAGAGTAGTAGTCAGGAAGTTTGGCTAAAAGAAACACGACAGAGGAACTACATATGACATTCCAAATAGAAATGTCAGATCCTAAAACATGCGAACCTGGTGAAATTGGCAAGAAGTTCCACTATTCACATTAAAAAGAAAAAAGAAAGGCCAAAAAATTGGTCAGGAAAATAAAAGCTTCTAAACCCTGTTTAGCTGAGATCTAAGATATTTTAAAGTAGCAAATCCCAAACTCAGGAAGGATTCACCTCATTGTTCTTGCCTGAAAGTTTCTGCTACCTTGGGTCTTGTATAGCCTTGTAAATGGGGATGAATGCAAAGATTTCTGAATGGCCACACTAACTTTCTGGTCTGAACAGTCCGTCCTAAAGTTTAGTCTGGTTAGCTTTGAAAACACCTAGACAGGACTGTTAATCTACACATATTTGCAGATTTATTTGCATATTATAGTTTGAATAATCTGGATTAGAGATTTTTAATACTAGGACTGACCTAGTATAAACATTCCTGGGACACTAGGGACGATAGCCTAAAACTTCCCTACTGTTTCTGAATGTTAGAATCTCCATAATAACATTGAAAGTCTATTCCATTAATAGGAGAATAGCTACTATCTAGAACGAATCTTTTATAAGTAATAATGAGAAAGTCTAGGGGAAAAAAAATACATCTGGAACAACCAACTGAAGGCACAGGAAAGCAGGCAGAAATGGAGGGGAGTCTATATTGTAAGGAGAGAAAATTAGAACTGGATGAGGTTCCTGTTTCTGTGTTCACTAAAGGAAGGCTCTACCTGACAAGTGACGAAATCTCAAATAAAACTCACAAAGCACTGCACTAAGAAACTAAAGCCACTTTCGCATGAGTTTGATTCCCGCCTGCCCCGGAGGCGACCATATGGCGAGGCAGACCTCTCCTGACCCGCCCGCTGCTCCCCTCAGCAGTGTACTTCGTCGATCTTGCCTGTTCTGCTTCCCGCTCTGTCTCTGGTGAATCCTCTCACCCTCCGCATCTCTGGCCTGTACCCCAGTTCTGTACAAATAAATAAATAAATCTTAAAAAAAAAAACAGTTCTACTGTTTTGAAGAAACAAAGGAAAGAAACAGGTAATGACAGGAGTTGCCAAGTGAAGGGAGATGATAGAAAGCAGTCACAAAAGGAGCATCCTAACTATACATATATGTTCATTTCAAATATCTGGATGACCTAACTGATACACATCAGGGTAAACTTTAAATAACCTGCTAAAACCAGAACTGCACAGTGATTAATTGCTTCCCACTGCTGGAAAATCAGCTTGGAAAATGGGTTTAGCCAAGTAGACTGCCTGCTAAAATTCAGAAGTATTGCATAATACAGGATACAACCCAATATTACTAAACATACCAGAACAGAAAAATGTCACACAACCTTAGGAGAAGTAAATATATGGAAAGGGTCAGATGAGCTATTCCAAATATTGGTGTTATCGGGAAAGGATTTTAAATCAGTTATTATAATTATGACCATGAATTTAAAAAGAAAAAAAGCAAATCAGAAATTGGAGAAAGAACATCTGAAAAACAGTATCTGGAATAAGCCTGTAGTGCTATCAAGCATGGCACTTAGTAATTTTTAGAACACTGTCAGGATTCTAATTCCTAGACAGTTCTAGTAGGAATTTTCTAGTCATATCTTAACTATCGTGATTTTTCAATCAAATGTATATATTTTGATATAAAGTTGTCTTGTGCTACTTTAAAAAATAATCCATTACAACTCCTTTTGTTCTGTTTTCTTTTAAAACAAACTTTTTTTTAGGACTATGAGGGGCAGGTGCATTTGGAAAAATTATTTCACATGACCACTGCTTTACAAAGGATTCTGAACAATTGAGGCAATTACATACTAAAAAATTAAAGATCTATAACATCTATAGCTATATTATGATTTTCTTTTTCTTTTTTTTAAACATATTAAAAGGACAGGTTTGGGCCCTCCCTGGTGGCGCAGCGGGTTAAAGCACAGCACTGAGAATCTGAAGCCACTTCCGCATGAGTTCGATTCCCGCCTGCCGCCTGCCCCGGAGGAGACCACATGGCGAGCCAGACCTCTCCTGACCCGCCCGCTGCTCCCCTCAGCAGTGTACTTCGTAGATCTGCCTGTTCTGCTCCCCACTCTGTCTCTGGTGAAGCCTCTCACCGCCCCTGAGCCTCTGGCCTGTACCCCAGTTCTGTATGCACAAATAAATAAATCTTTAAAAAAAGATAAAAAAGGACAGGTCATTAGGAAAGGATAAAGGAAAAGAGAGACACCTGTCCATAGACACAGGTGGGGAAGAGCATTGCTTTGCATTATGATGAATTTCTAAAGCAAATGCAGCGGGAATCAAAATGTGACTTTATGTGAATTGAATTGTAAGACATAGGAACTGAAGGATGCTTATAACTCATTCTCCTATTTTCTTAAATTGCTTGAAATGTGTTTCTAGTGAGCATACTAGGCATAATTCAGGGTCAGACTTTGCCATTTGACTTCACATACCTGGTAGATCCAACTTCACACAAGGTAATGATTTACCTCTCCCAACTGGACACTTATAGACATCTCCAGTTCTGTTTTTGGGTTGACCAACTAAAGGAGAACCAATAAGCACCCTGGAAATTAAATGATTCCATTAATATTTTTGAGCAATGGAAAACATTTTATTTTAGCTATTTTATTATGAGTTCTAAGATAGTTAACAGTAGTTCTCATAGTCATTCTCTGATAGTAAGTTCATGTTTTATAAAATAAGTTGTGTCTTCTCCAAGTTGTAGATCATTTTAATACAAATGTCAAACATAGGGTCCTCCCTGGTGGTGCAGTGGATTAAAGCACAGCACTATAAAGTTAGCCACAGCCACTTCAACTCCAGTTCCATCCACCCCTGTCCTCTGGTCTGTATCCCAGTTTTGTATGCATAAATAAAATAATTCTTTTTAAAAATGCCAAAAATATGTAGAGGATAAATCTTAGAATATTATATTATATTATCTATTACTTTATCATACTTTTTGTGTGGAGGTGAAAATGAATTATTGATTAAACCTATCATCGTGTTAATTTACAAAACATTCATGAAGCATAACTGAGGTTTTTCTATGAGGAACTGACATTTCATTAGAAATTCTTCAATTTCAGAGAAGTTAGGGAGTGTAAAACATTTGATGATCATAAGATTTAATATTAGTATAGGTTAATCTGTAAGCACTTAGAAAATAAGGATAGAAATGAGACCCAGGTTAAAATTACTTATTGTCTTTTAATATACAATTTTAAAATCACTCTAATAAGAATTGATGTTTAATAGTTATGATTTATTTCAATCATAGCAACCCAGTTAAAAAGGTCTCCTATGATAGCATCAAGAATAGGATGGACAAATGTGCATAAGTGTTAAGATACTTGAATTTACAGCTGCAGATTTATTGTTGGTTGAAATGCTATATCCAAAGACACCTAGCAACAAAAGGACTTTAATTATAAACTGTAAGACACTGCATTTGGGGTTATATTAGCCTATAGATTTACTAACAACTGTAGTGAAGGCTACAGAAAGCATATAGGAATGAATCAATATACTTGTTTGGGATTTCTGAACATTCTGGAACAAGAAACTTAAATTACCTAAAGTTTATTAACAACCTATGTAAACACAGATGATACACTCCTACATCAGCCTCAGAGGTGTATATGGAGATTCAACACCAAGCACAAGGGAAAATGAGTAAAAATAAACAATTGGGACAATATAAATTAAAAACATTTTGGTACAGCAAAAGACCTCCTCCTGTCCCCTGGGGGGGGGGGGGGGGGGAAAGAAGTTAACTTATCAACTGGGAGAAGATATTTATACATCACATGTCCAACAGGAGGCTAATTCCCCAAATATATAAGGAACTCATACAACTCAACAATTGGAAAACAAAACAAAAACAATCAAATAATGGGCAGAAGACATCCAAAAATCTCTTCAAAGAATATATAGAGATGACCCACAGGTATATGAAGAACTGTTCAACATGTCTTATTATAATGTGGTATATACAAGAAAACCCCACAATGAGATATCACCTCATCTCTGTCAGTATGAAATCAATCTAACTGTCCATTCACAGATGCCAGGTTAAGAAGGTATGCTACAGATATGCAGTGGAACACCGTTTGCTACTGAAAAAGGTGAAATAGTATCTTTTGGGACAAAGTGAATGAATCTTGAGGTAACTATGTTCAGCTAAGTCAGGAAGTGAATGACAATTCTTGGATGTTTCCACTCATTCATGGACTATAAATAAGTAAAGGAAACAAACCAGCCAGCACAATTCGATGAAAAATATGATGTTTCCACGAGGGGACAAAGGAGTGGGATAGGGGGTGCAAAAGTGACAGCGTGTTTTGGCACTAGGCTTTGGCTGAGGGCTAGTGAAGCACATGCATGCAGGAAGTAGTGAAGCTGTACTTCCAAAATTATACAGTTTGGAAACAAACGGCAAATTAGTAAAATCTGATCAAGAAAACTATATACGACACAATATAAACAATTTCATTTATCTGTGTACTATTATCCACATCAGAAGAAAGTGGGAAAACTGACTTAACTAGAATTTGGGTGAGAAATGTTACAGGGGATTTTGTTGACAGCAAGCAAACATGGGCCAACAGGGTACTTTCCTGCCAAAAATGCTAATGTGGCCCTGGGCAGCGTTGCTGGAAATAGATGCCTTGGTCAAGAAAGTGATAGCCCCTCTGCTCTGCACTGTCAGGCCATGTCTGGGATCTCCAAATTAAGAGGGACAGAAATACAATGGAATGCATGTAGGAGATCGTGACTCAGAAGGTTAAGAGCTGATAATTTTGTCGGACAAAGGTACTTGAGAGAAAGCTGGCAATGTTGAGCACAGAAGGAAAAAAATGTCTGAACGAGAACTGAGAAGTCATTTAGGGGTACAGGCAGATCGGGTATAGATTAAAAATTTAAATGTAGAGTTCAACATCTTGAAAATGAATGGGGTTTACTGGTAGGTCCTTTGGATAAAGGGATAAAGCCGGTATTAATAGAAGTCTTATAAGAACTGTAAATATGGAATTGTTAAACAGATTCCTAAAGCATAGCTATGATCTAATGCCTTTGCAAAGTCTGGCATGCATAAATTATGATAAAAATGTACAAACCCTTTCATGTATAATTCTTACTGCTGGGAATCTATCTTAATAAATGACTAAAGTTAAGGGAAAGAGGCTTAATGCAGAAAGATAAAACTCATGGGGTTATATATAATAATACAGGATTAAGAGAAATGTGATTTACAGTAAGAACTAATTAATTATTACAGGCTCAATCTATAGACTGTTGTACAGTCATAAGAAACAATAAGTTAATAAGGTTGCATGGTAGGATAAGACATTATGCACAACTGAATTTAAAGTAAAAACCTTTCTCATTTAGTGAAAATGTGTGACAAATTTAAAGTGACAGACACCAAAGTATATTTATGTACTCACTATAATAGCAGGATAGTAATAATTAGAATTTATTGAATTTGTACTGTGTGTCAGACACTGTGGTAAGAGCTTCCATAAGCTAAATAACCTGATCCTCTCTACCTATACAGTATGTATTCCGGTGCCAGACTTCATGAATTCAAGTTATAGTTTTATGATTGACTAAGCTGTGGAGTTTAGGACAAGTTAATTACCCTGCATTTGTTTTTTTATCTGTAAAGTAGAAATAATAAGAGGATCATCAGAAAGGCTGAATGAGTTAACATATATAAGATGCATAAAACACTATTTGGATTATAGAATGTGCTAAGTTTTATACTATTATTATTAATATATATATATCTAGATAAAACATCTAGATAAAACAAACACTACACCAAAACATGACAAATTATATTAAGGAGGTTATGTTTAGGTATTTTTCCAATATTTTTTAAGCATTTTGTAATATGATTGATTAAATTAGTTTCATAATTAAAACGGTTTAGAGAACATGCAGAGAGTTATTATTATGAACAGTATTCAAACTGAGGCTTAATAGATTAACATTTACTAAGAATATTCTACATGCTTGACATTTTTGCTAGACTCTGGGGATACAAAAATAATAAAACAATTTTTTTTTTTTTAGATTGCTTAAACCTTAGTGGGGAAACAAAACTATAAACATATTATTATACTGAATAGGTCTGAATGTGGTGCACTTTAGAAGTCTCAGAAGAAAGAAAGAATAATGCTTCTTTGATAGTTACAAGAAACTCTGCATAGTTGGAATGGAAGTTGAGCCTGGCAGGGTAAGCAATGTCTAGATAATAAGTGTTTTTACTGTCCATTGAAAGAACTTTGGATTTTCTTATTGGAGGTGGGGGATTGGCAACAACTAAGCTTTTAAAAAGGGGTGCGATATGATCCACTTTGATCTAGAAAGCTTATTTATTTTCATTGTCATCAAGAAATTAGGAGAAAGGGCGAATTAGAGTCAGAGAGGGAAAGATTCTGAAGGAAGGAAGTGAAAAGAAGGGAGTAAACAGTTCTAGAAATAGGATATAAACTCTCTCAATTTGGCTTTCCCCCGAAGCAGATAAAGACCTAGGTATAAATAGTTTTGGAGACAACAATTACATATATGCACAAATGTGGACATAGACCAATGATATAAGGCAGAAGCAAGACCTATAAACGGCACAAGCATGTGAGTGCTTTCCTGCCAGGGAACATCTCAGAAACTACATGGTACATTATGATCAGCAAGGTGCAAGGTTGAGACCCTCAGTGTCAATACAAGCACCTCAAGAGAATGCAGAGTAAAATGAAACTAAAGGTGGTCACCAATGAGGAAATATCACAAGATTTTAATGGGTGAAAGAAAAAAACAGGGAGTGATCAGAGTGGTTGAGGGAGAATCAGAAAACAGTGGTGTCATATAAGCCAGAGGAAGAGGACTGAGAACAGGCACTGTGACTTCACTTCAAGTAACCTGGTTAAAAAACGAGGGAAGTGGGCTCACTCTGGTGGCTCAACTGGTTAAAGCACTGCATTATGAAACTCTCCAAAGGCACTGCAGCACAAGTTCAATCCCCAGCCAGGGAGCTGATCCACATGGCATGGCAGACCTCTCCTGACCTGCCCACTGCTCCCTTCAGCAGTGTATTTCAGTACATCTACCTGTTCTGCTCCCCACTCTGTCTTTGGGGAATCCCCTCACCCACCATACCTCTGGCCTGTACTCCAGTTCTGTAAGCATAAATAAATAAATCTTTAAAAAAAAATAAAAAAGAGGGAGTTGGGCCACATGTGGGCTTCTTTTTATCAGGCAAACCACTAAGGGTTTGTGATAAGCTCACCTTTATATGGAAGAAACACAGATATAGTTAAATAAGTGTGAGAGAAACCAGTAACAAGAGAGAAATTGAAATCACAGGAGAAAAAGTGGAGCTCCTGAACACTTTGATGGATTCAGAAAGACAGGATTGTCTTAGACAGGCCTCAGGCTCCCTAGGCGGGCCTCTGGGTAGTCCAGCACCTAGAGGTCTACGCATGTGGTAGATGGTAGGAGCTGTGTGCACCTTGGTGATCTGACTTTGTCCCCCACTTGTCTTTCATTGGGGCAGAA